AACTATTTTACATTTTGTAGTGTATATGTGTCCACGCCACTCTCTCACTTCATCCTAGCTTACTCTTCCGCCCACCATGTCCTCAAGTCCATTCTCTAAGTCTGCGTCTTTATTCCTGTCGGACCCCTAGGTTCTTCAGAACCTTTTTTTTCTCTTAGATTCCATATATATGTGTTAGCATATGGTATTTGTTTTTCTCTTTCTGACTTAACTTCACTCTATATGACAGACTCTATGTCCATCCACTTCACTACAAATAACTAAATTTCATTTATTTGTATGGCTGAGTAATATTCCATTGTATATATGTGCCACATCTTCTTTATCCATTCATCTGTCAATGGACACTTAGGTTGCTTCCATGTCCTGGCTATCAAAAAGAGTCATGTACCACAATATTCACTGTAGATCTATTTATGATTGCCTTTTCATTTTGATGATGGTTTCCTTCACTCTACAAAAGTCTTCTATTTCGATGTAGTCTTGTTTGTTTATTTTGGCTTTTGTCCCCTTGCCTTTGGAGTCAGATCCACAAAAACATAACTAAAACTGATGTCATTGAAGTTACCACTTATGTTTTCTTTTAGGAATTTGATTGTTTCTGGTCTTACATTCAAGCTTCTAATCCACTTTGAGTTAATGTTTGTGTATGGTGTGAGATAGCAGGCTACTTTCATTCTTTTGCATGTAGCTGTCCAGTTTTCCCAGCACTATTTATTGAAGAGACTGTTCTTTCTCAACTGTATGTTCATTTCTCCTTTGTGTAGATTAATTGTCCATATTAGTTGTCCATGTGTGTTGGATTTATTTTGGGGCTCTCAATTCTGTTCCATGGATCTATATGTCTGCTTTTGGGCCAGTACTATATTGTTTTGATTGCTATAGCTTTGTAGTATGATTTGAAATCCGGGAGCTTGATACCTCTGGTTTTGTTCTTCTTTCTCAAGATTGTTTTGGCTATTTGAAGTCTTTTATGTTTTCATACAAATTTTAGAATTGTTTGTTCTAGTTCTGTGAAATATGCCATTGGCATTTTGATAGATATTGCTTTGGGTAGTTTGGACATTTTAGCAATATTAATTTTTCTTATCCATGAGCACAGAATATCTTTGCATTTTCTGATATCTTCTTTAATTTCTTTCATCAGTGTTTAATAGTTTTTAATATACAAGTCTTTCATCTCCTTGGTTAAATTTATTCCTAGATATTCTATTCTTTTTGTTGCAATTGTACAGGGGATTATTTTCTTAATTTCTCTTTCTGTTAGTTCATTATTAATGTACAGAAACCCTACAGATTTCTGTATATTGATTGTGTATCCTGCAACTTTCCTGAATTCATCAGTCCTAACAAGTTTTGGGTGAAGTTTTTATAGTTTTTCTATATATGGTATCGTGTCATCTGCAAATAGTGAGAGCTTTGTTTCTTCCTTTCTGATTTGGATGTCTTTTATTTCTAGCCTAATTGCTGCGACTAGGACTTCCAATATTATTTTGAATAACAGTGGCAAGAGTGGGAATTTTTGTCTTGTCCCTGATCTTAAAAGGAAAAGCTTTGGGCTTCCCTGGTGGCGCAGTGGTTGAGAGTCTGCCTGCCGATGCAGGGGACACGGGTTCGTGCCCCGGTCCGGGAAGATCCCACATGCCGCGGAGCGGCTGGGCCCGTGAGCCATGGCCGCTGAGCCTGCGCATCCGGAGCCTGTGCTCCGCAATGGGAGAGGCCACAACAGTGAGACGCCCGCGTACCGCAAAAAAAAAAAAAAAAAAAAGGAAAAGCTTTCAGCTTTTTGCTGTTGAATGTGATGTTATCTGTGGGTTTGTCACATATGGCCTTTATTATGTTGAGTTATGGTTCCTCTATACCCATTTTGTTGAGAGTTTTTATCATAAATAGCTGATAAATTTTGTCAAAAGTTTTCTCTGTATCTATTGAGATAATAGTATAATTTTCATTCTTCGTTTTGTTAATGTCATGTATCACATTTGATTGGTTTGCAAATGTTGAACCATCCTTGCATTTGTGGAATAAATTCCAGTTATTCATGGTGTATGATCCTTTTAATGTATTGAATTCAGTTTGCTAATATTTTATTGAGGATTTTTGCATCAATGCTTGTCAAGAATATTGGTCTATAATTTTCTTTTCTGTGTTGTCCTTGTCTGCTTTTGGTAATAGGGTAATGCTGGCTTTGTAAAATGTGTTTGGAAGTTTTCCCTCATCTTCAATTTTTTGGAAGAGTTTGAGGATAGTTCTTAAACCTCCTTTGAATGTTTTGTAGAATTTGCCAGTGAAGATTCTGGTTCTGGTCTTTTGTTTCTTGTGTGCTTTTTGATTACCATTTCAATCTCCTGATTAGTAATCGGTCAATTTAGATTTTCTATTCCTTCATGGTCCAGTCCTGGAAGACCATATGTTTCTGGAAATTTATCTATTTCTTCTAGGTTGTGCAATTTGTTAGCATATAACTGTTCATAGTAGTCTATTCTGTGGTATCAGTTGTAACTTCTCTTTTATTTCTGATTTTATTTGAGCCCTCTCTTCTTTTCTTGAGTTAGTTTTATTGATCTTTTCTATTGTAGTTTTGGCCTCTATTTCACTTATTCCTCTCTGACATTTATTATTTTCTTCCTTCTACTAATTTTGGTCTTTGTTCTTTTTCCAGTTCCTCTAGGTATAAAGTCAGATCATTTATTTGGGAATTATTTGTTTGCTTCTTTCTTGAGGTAGCCTGTATTGCTATGAACTTCCCTCTCAGAACCACTTTGCTGCATTCCTTAAATTTTGGTATGTTGTATTTCTGTTCTCATTCTCTATAGGTATTTTTAAAATTTCTTCTTTGATTTCTTTGACTCACTGGTTATTCAGTAGCGTGTTGTCTAATCTCCATGTTTTTGTGGTTTTTCCAATTCTTTCCCTTGTGATTGATTTCTAGTTTCATACCATTGTGGTTGGAAAAGATGCTTGATGTGACTTTAATTTTCTTGAAATTATTGAGACTTGTTTTGTGACCTAACATGTGATCTATCCTGGAGAATGTTCCATGTGCACCCATGAAAAATGTGCATCCTTCTGCTTTTGGATGTAATGTTCTATATCTACATATATATCTATTAAGTGCATCTGATAATGTGTTATTTTAGTCTGCTCTTTCCTTATTCATTTTCTGTCTGGATGGTCTATCTATTGATGTAAGTGTGGTGTTAAAGTCTCCTACTATTATTGTAATGGACCCTTTAGGTCCATTAATATCTGCTTTATATATGTTGGTACTCCTATGTTGGCAGCATATATATTTATAAATGTTATATCTTCTTGCTTATTGACCCTTTTATCATTATGTAATGCTTTTGTTTGTCTTTTATTATAGTCTTTAAAGTCTATTTTGTCTGATATGTGTATAACTACTGTAACTTTCTTTTATTTGTGTTTGCATGGAATATCTTTTTCTAACCCTTCACTTTCAGTCTGTGTGTCCCCACTTCTGAAGTGAGTCTCTTGTAGGCAGCATATAGATTTTTTTTAATCTATTCATCCATTCTGTGTCTTTTGATTGGAGAATTTTGTCCACTTACATTTAGAGTAATTATTGAGAGGTATGTACTTATTGCAAATTTGTTCACTGTTTTCTGGCTGTTTTGTGGTACCTCTCTGTTTCTTTCTGCTTCTCTTGCTCTCTTCCCTTGTGTCTTGGTAGCTTTCTGCAGTGTTATGTTTAGATTGCTTTTTCATTTCTTTTTGAGTATTTACTATAAGATTTTTCCCTGTAGTCAACCATGAGGCTCACATATAACATCTTATGTAAATAGTTTGTAGCAACTTAAATTTGAATACATTCCAAAGCTTTATTTTCCCCCCTTTTATACTTTTGATGATACATTTTACATCTTTTTAGTTTATGTACCTCTTAGCTAATTCTTGTAATTTTAGTTAATTTTACTAGTTTTGTCTTTAACTTGTATGCCTGCTTTATAAGTGATTGATACACTACCTTTATTATATATTTGCCTTTTCCAGTGAGATTTTTACTTTCATACATTTTCTTATTATTAATTAGTACCATTTCTTTCAGCTTAAAGAGCCCCTTTTAACATTGTTGGGCCAATATAGTGGTGGTGAACTCCCTTAGCTTTTGTTTGTCTGAGAAACTTTTAAACTTTCCTTCAGTTATGAGTGATAACATTGTTGGGTAGAGAATTCTTGACTTGAAAGATGTTTTTTTCCTTTTAGCACTTTGAATATGTCATGTTACTGTCTCTGGCCTGTAAGCTTTCTGCTGAAAAATCTGCTGATAGCCTTACAGGGTTTCCTGTGTATATAACAAATTGTTTTTCTCTTGCTGCTTTTAGGATTGTCTCTTTATACTTCATTTTTACCATTTTAATTATAATGTGTCTTGGTGTGTGTCTCTTTGAGTTCATCACATTTGAAACTCTCTGGGCTTCTTGGGCCTGCATATCTGTTTCTTTTACAGATTAAGGAAGTTTTCAGCCACTATATCTTCAAATAATTTTTCTTCTCTCTTGTCCTTCAGGGACCCCCTATAATGTGAATGTTATTCTGTTTGATGTTGTACCAAAGGTCCCTTAAAGTATCTTCACTATTTTAAATTCTGTTTTTGTTTTGCTGCTCTGTCTGGGTGAGTTCCATTGCTTTGTCTTCCAGCTCATTGATTCATTCCTCTACTTCATCCAATCTGCTGTTGAATCCCTCTGGTGTATTTTTCAGTTCAATTATAACTTGTTTGGCATTTTCTTATATTTTCTGTCTCTTTGTTGAAGTTCTCACTGTGTAGTCCATTCATTTCCTAAGTTCAGTGAACATCTTTATGACCAATTACTTTTAACATTTTACCAGGTAGATTGCTTATCTATGTTTTCTTTAGATCATTTTCTGAGGTTTTGTCTTGTTGTTTTGATAGGAACATATTTCTGTGTCTCCTCATTTTGCCTAATTCTCTGTTTTTGTTTTTATGTACTGGGTAAATCTGCTGCCTCTCCCAGTCTTAAAGGAGTACACTTATGTAGGATATGTCCTGTGAGGCTCAGAAGTGTACTCCCAACTATCCACCAGAGCCAGATGCTCAAGTGATGTCTCCTATGTGGGCTGCATACACTCTCCTGTTGTGGTAAGGCTGAAGCTGCTGCTGCAGTGCACTGGATAGCCCCTGGAATGACTCTGGAACCCAGACATGGCAGCTGCTGGGCATTGGTGGGCAGAGCTGGACCTCAGAACTGCTATGGGGCCTGGCCATGGATGCTGCCAGGTGCTGGTGGACGTGGTTATTGCCCAATCAGCTGTAAGTCCTGGCTAGGTGGCAGGGGTGAGCAAGGCTCTCTGCAGGTGTGCCCACTGGGGCTAACATGTTAGATGGAGATTTCCAAAATGCCACCTGTGCTGGCATTAACAAGGTGGCTCCTGTCAGTGTCTCAGTCCCCAGAGAGAGCATTCCAACTGGTCCCTGCCTCTCCAGCAGATACTTCAAAGTTAGTAAGTGGATCCCCTTTACCTATGGTCCATGCAATTTTCAATCTAATGCTTTTGTGCTGGTTTTGGGGTCAAGTCTGTGTGCAAGCCCTTTAAGAGTGAGTTTCCCATTCCCTGTAGTTTTAATAGTTTTCCTGGATTTCCCATTGATCTTCAAATCCAGGTGTTTTGGAAGCTCATCTCTTCTGTGCAGGATCTAGGGGTTGGGATGCCTGATGTGGAGTTCAAATCTCTTTCTTCTCAGGGAAAATAATCTTACCTTTGTGATCCTTCCTGATTGTGGATCACCAAGGCTGGGATATGGTTTTTTCCTCAGCATGACCATATCTCAGTTTTTCCTACCTATCTCAATGATACCCTTTTACCCTTTGTTGTGGAGACTCTGTTCATCTAATTTTCATGTCCCTTTCAGAGGGAATTATTCCATATGTAGTTGCAGATTTGTTGTGTCTTTGGGAGAAGATGACTTCAGGATCTTTGTAGGCCACCATCTTGAACCCACCTCCTGGGCCAATTTTGATATTTAATTTTCACCTGATAGGTTGACAAGTAAAGGTGAGTAGTGTCTTTAAAACACATGTATGCCTATTTTCAGGGGATGCTGGTATTTCAACTTATAAATAAAATCTGGTTGGCTTAATTTTCTATTTAATATATGAAAAAGTGACTATTTCATGCATGTAGGGTTGCAGGTGATTAAAAAAACCTATAAAATCTCATATTTTTTATTTTCCTGGAAGAATTTATAGGAAAAGGACTACGTAATTTGTTCCCAAAGACTGGCTGACAAAAATTTAATGGAGCTTAAACTGTTCTTTCTGTATCTTTATGCCTTTTGTTTTTTAATTTCTTCCATTTAACCAAATGCTACAACCAAGAAACATAATCTGGAACATTACCACAAGCTCTCTGGTTCCTCCAAGGAATTTGGTCTCCTCATTGGTATGTCATATATAACACTAGTAAATGTTTTTCTAGCCAGTTGTGCTTACTTTAGGGCTCAGTTTTCAGAGAATCTGGGTATTCCAGAGTAACTGAAGGAGGCCAGTGTTCATCATGGGCCATGGTAAAATGAGCTTTATTATAAATTTCACTAAGTTGTCAACTACATGTAAAGTACCACTGTAAGCAGCTTCCACTGGGTTCTTGCAAAGATGAAGAGAAAAGAAAATAACCTTCAACAAAATTGGTCTTCTGTTTCTCCAGCAACCCTTTCTGCCTCACTTTTATCTCCATGTCAGCCTTTCTTTTAGTTTGAGGCCCTTTGTTTTTCTCCTTTCAAACCCTCTCCACCAATTAAAATTAAAATTCAAAAGGTCCTGATGTTATCATTTGCATTTGGTCAAACCTCATTTTTCTTTATGTTAACTAATCCAGGTTTTTCTATTTTTAAGTATAACTTATATTTCCCTAAGCCTCACCCACCAACCTATAAGGCAAATTAAAACACTGATTTCTTGATCTAACCTGCTAGAATAAGATTCTCTATACTCCCACCTCATTCAAAACCTCACCCCATTTTCACCCTTGGAGTCTTTCAGGATGTTTTCTATGTTTAGAGGCAAGTCTCATGTTCCTTCATCTGCCTTCCTGTTATATTCTTACTTACCTCAAAAGCAGTTTGAGAGGTGTCATCCCACTACCTTGGCTGCTGAAAACCTTTGTGGGAATGCTACATCCCTGACTAGGGTAAAATCCATGCATTTTTTTTCCCCCAACTGCACTACTTCAAGGTATCAAGTTACAGTTTACTTCTTTCAGTTCCCACTGTGTTCAAGGTACTATGTGGTATTTTGTGAACTAGTGGGTCGAATGTCTCCCAAGTTGTCGCAATTTGTCAGCTGGGCCCCTAGACAATTTTGCTTTGGCCTCTGATCTTACAAAATCCATTTTAAAGACAGTTTCTTTGGCTTCTACCTGCCATTTTGCTTTTTTTTTTTTTTTTAAGGAAATAAGAACTTATTGATACAATTAAAGCTCTTAGTCTATACCTCTTGTTCTTTTTCTACTTTTTCCTTCCTAGAGGTGACCATGATCACCTGAAATTCATGGTTACTTTCCTCAATTATATTGTTTGCTATTACTACATAGTATAAATCCATAAATAATATTTTGCATTGTTATGTATATTTTACACTTTATGTAATTGGTATTATACTATATCCATTGTTATCCAATTTAACTTTTTTTTGCTTAGTTTGCTTACATTTTTGGGATTTATCTGTGTTGATGCATATAGTTCTGTTTATACTCCATTGTAGGGCAATGTCACAATGTATTTGCCCATTTCTCTGTTAGATGATATTTGTTTCCAGCTTTTAGCTATTAACTACTGCAAAAAAATGTTTTAATAATTCTGTTTTCCTTCTAAAGGGATTTGAAGCAATTGTAGTGTGGAAAACTTAGAAGGAGGTATTCTTCAGAGATTGTGGTTATAGCTGTCACTGAAGGTACTTGGGGTGGGGTATAGTTTGGGAAAAGAGTGGTGAGAAGAAAGAGTTGCTTTCCTAGAATATTCCTTCCTTTTCTCTTATCTTCTCCCTGACTCTAACAATGTTTGCCTCTCCTCTTTCTGCCATTAAGGTTCTCGTATATTACCAATCCAGATCCTATCTAATCTCTTATAGTAGAAATAGTCTGCTTTTGGAATTTCTACCTCTATGAAAGTTTAAACAAAGTGGTATAACCCAACTAAACTTTATTTTTCTGATCCATAAAAATTAAAATGACATTAATGACTTAAGAGTGTTATTGTGAGGAATGAAAGATAATATCTGGGGTCTTATGGCAGACTGGACTCTTCCCAAAGATAGGTAGAGTAGATCCCCTCCTGTTGAACCTGGGGGGCTCTGTGACTTAGGACCTCTTAACATGATTTCTACAGCAGAGGATCAACTTTTTAATGGAGGCTCAGGCCTCCAAGAGATTATTTCTGGAGAAAGAAAGTAGAAGGTGTCAGTCTCGAGGCCTGAGCCTGGAAATCAGTAAAGTTTCTTTCACCATATTCCATTCGTCAAAACATCAGTAGATGACTGGAATAGCCCCCTAAGTGATCCCTTCAATCATAAATTCTTTCTTTCTTTCTTTCAAATCTATTAATAATTTCCCATCACATTTAATATAAAATAACTTTACATGTTTAAGGCTCTGAATGATTGTTTCCCTGTCTACTTCTCTAAACCCATTTCATATCACTTTCCCCTGCTCACTATGCTTCAGCTTTGGTCCAGTTCTTTTGCAGGTAACAGATCACCCAAAAACTCCGTGATTTAAAGCAACTATTTTTTATCTCACATTTCTGTGGTGTGGGAGTTCAGGGGATTAGGAGGGTTGTTCTTCTGGTTTTGCCACTCATGCAGCTGTATTTAGCCAGAAGATCAGCAGGAAGAAAAGTTCAACTGGGACTCTGGGATGACGGGGCTTTGCTCTCCAAGTGGTATTTCCATTTGAAGGAGGCAAGACCAGATAGGGCTCTCTCTCATGGCTCATCTGTGTTCCGAATAAGCATTTATCAAACTTATGTTGTTCATGGATGTCCCATTGGCCAAAGAAGTCATGTGGCCAAGCCCAAAGTCAATGTGGGAGAGAGCTTCATAAGAGCATGGATGCCAGGAGGCAAGATTCATTGGGGGCCATTAATGTGACAAGACCCAAAGGCCTGATTTCATTTCCTAGAATACACCAAGTTCTTTTATACTTTAGGGTCTTTCCATAGTTTCTTTTTTTAGGCATTCAACAAATATTTAGATACCCACAGGTACTAGACAAAGTGCTCAGGGCTCTTATGAGGTTTTCCTTCTAAAGAGGGGAGACACACAGTAAGCAAGTGCAATGACAAACAAGATAATTTTAGATGGTGATAAGAGCTCTGAAGAAATAAATCAGGGTAATGGGTAGAAAGTGACTGGCAAAAGTGAAGAAGTTAAGTTTAGAAAGGTCAGGAAGATCTGAGTGGATGGCACTGAATCTGAAATCCGAATGATGAGAAGGAGCCAGCGACAGGGCGTTACAGGCAAGGAGTATTCCAAGCAGAAGAAACAGCTCCTGTATCTCCACCACTACCCTCCCTGGCCACCTCCTGACTTCCTCTTTACACAGCTGGTTCCTTCTCATCTCAGCTTGAAGATCACTATTTTCAATAGGCTTTCTTTGTCTGCCTAATCTAAAGTATCCTATTCTTGCCCTCACTACACCCTACCCAGTTTACTCAAAGAATTTACGATTTTCAGTAATTTTCTTGTTGTTTACTTATTTATTATAAGTCCCCAATAAGCTATAATACCCATATAAAATAGGGTCATGTCCCAACATTTCTTGAATATTTTCATACAACAATGATTGTTCAGCATTCAAATATAATTGCTAAATGAATAAATAAATGAATTAACATAGTAAGTCCCAGTCTGAAAGTGTGACCACAAATGCCTGGAGTAGGACATCTTCATATGTCCGATTCCTGATAGGTCCAGACTACTGTTGTCCTTCTCGTTCCAGGTTGGTTTGGGACTATCCACTTTCTGGGGATTTCATTTTCAGAAGCTCTTTGGAACTTCCAGGACTCTGAGCTTAGGTCAGCACTGCCCTGTCTACCCTAACAGGTTTCCATAAATTTAAATTCCAGAAAGGAAGCTTTGGGGTATTGATCCTTATTCCTTAAAGAACTCTCCTGGGATTCTTATACTAAATTCCTACCTCTCTCTCCTGCTACTTTCAAATTCTTCATGAAAAATAAAAGATTTAAATTCTATTTCATTAGACTTCACCTTCATAAATAATGATAACAGCTGTCAATCATCCTAGTTTGCTTACCAGGTACCAGATACTTGAAACATAATTTAGCCCTCACTACAGTCCTGCAAGGTAGGAATTATTTTCCTCATTTTTCAGATGAGGTAACAGAGACTCACAGAGGTCAAGAAACTTCCACAGTGTCATCTAAGGATTAAATGGTAGAGCAGGTATTTAGACCCTTGAGTCTAGATCTGACTGTTTTCCTACCACTCACATTGTTGTTGTGTTGACCCGCTCAACATAGGAGAGGGAAATATAGGTCCACTATGACTTGCTTCCAACCCTGAAATCCCAAACTTTCTGAAAACCAAGTTTTTCTGCAAAAATCTGACCCGACTTGACCTGAACTCATTTGTGAACAAAACTTGACCTGAACTGATATGAAGCTAATTATAGTCCTTATTTATTCCACTTATTATGACTGCTTATACATTTTGTTATAAAAATAGTAATGTGTTAAATTACAGGGTGCTCCACCAGGCACCACTGAGGGCATTACTTATATAATATTTGCATTGTAATTCTCTTATAAGATCTGAAACATTCTACAGTCTGAAGCACATGTGGTCCCAAGTGTTTCAGATGAGCAACTGGTAATCTGTTATATTTGTGAATGACTCTATAGTCCACAAAGCTTTTTCAAAGTTGAAGTAATTTTATATTATTTTCCTCTCATGCACAAAGAGGAATTTAGGAAATTTTCTAATGTGCCTTATCTTCTTGCTTTCTTTAAAGTAACTTCATTCTGTGATTCCAAGGTATTATCTGTACTTGATCCCAAGAGAAGTGTGGGGTTATTTGTTCAAGCAAAAAGACATTTAATTTTAAAATTAAATAATATGTTAAGGGGGAAAAGTGAGGGCCAAAAAAGTATACCAAGAATACTATCTGTATTTTTTGAAAGAGAAAATATATGCAGTTATTTTCATGTATATGCATCAACTAGAAGAGTATGAGCAAAATTGATAGCTTTGTTTCTCTCTGGGATGATGGGAGGGAGATTTTTTTACTTTGTACCCTTTCATAAGTTTAGAACAAAATGAACTTATTATCCATTCAAAAAATTAAAGTCATAAATAAATATATCCATGAATGATTTTTCACAATGTGTGAGAGACTTAAGACACAAATGCTACCCAAGTCAGCTGAGTTACAAGTGCACAGCATGGCATTAGTCATTAGTGTGGCACATAATAAATGGCTCATGTTCTTCTTGCTTTCATCTTTTTCCCATTTAGGCCAGATGTTTTTCCACATATTTTTGACCACTGAAGAGCACACACTGGCCTTTGTTTTTGGCTCATGTCTGGCTGCACTATCCCCCGGTCGCTTAGGTCCCCAGACAGTATTCTTCTCTGGCAAGTACTCTCAGCCTGTGGCCTAAGTGGTTATCTGAGCCTGAATTCAACTAATGGTCACAGAACAGGATAGAATAAGAGGATTCTGGATGAGAAGCTGGGCTAAGCTGGCAGGCAGGGGATGGGCAGAGAAGGCACATGGGTCCTGAGGCAGGCAGCAGTCCATCTGTGATGGCCATCCCCAGACAAAGGCAAGGTCAGAGTCCAGGTGGGAGGTCCAGAAAGCAAAGCTTCTCTGGATGGCATTGGATAGAACTGAACCTGGGCGTACAAGTGTAGGTTTGACATTCAAGCCAGGCACTAAAAACAGAGTTAAACTTCCAGAAAAGACAGGTTCACACATGTTTACTCCAGAATGGAACTATGACATCCCCTCTGGACTGGTTTTAAGCACTTTTCCTCCTGAGGACAAATCAGAGAGAGGCAGGAATCTGTAAGTGTTACTTGTCACATGTAGTGAATGTGATTCTCTCCCTCCCACATGCAGTACTGTCCAGCCCAATTTTATACCCTAAGAAGTGATGGATCACCGAAGTCCCAACAAACTTTCACTGTCCATCGCCTGGAGTTGGGTTGAATGATCTGGGGGCAGCCCTGATGATTAAGGAGGCAGGCTGGTGACCTTAATTGATGTGTGTGAGTAATTGTGAGTCACGAAGTCAATCCATAGCTCATTTCGACAACCATAATTTGTGGTGCCCGACTGCCGTGGTACCATTTGTCTTATGCTTTGTTCATATTATGATGAGGGGATTAAGTTGTGCTCAATGTAGCTTTCTCTAGACACTGCAATTCAAGTCTTCGGTGAGTAGCTACATTTCAATCCTAATTTAATAGATTTAAATATTTTTTCAGGTGCATGCATTTATCATCAATCTTTGCATTGGCTCAAGCAGCCTTACCAGTAACAAAAATAATATATCACTACCTTAACTCTAGGTTCTCTGAAGAGGTAGTGGAAAGAATTGGATTTTCAAGCTCACTTTGGAAGAGGCAAGTAGGAAGGAGACTGAAAGCAGATCGTAAATCAGTTGGTTTAGGCAGGACACCTGCCCCGTCAGTCTCAGCTACATCCAAATGGAAAAATGGGTGATCTAGGATTACCCTCGCGCAATGCCAATGGCCAAGGCACTGAAAGGTCACATCTATTATGGTTGGCATTTCTCTCCCCACTGGGCTGTTTTTTGAGTGGATGTCATACTCATCTCATACAGAAGGCATGTTCATCATGCCAGAACTTTGCTGCTAATATTTGATCTAATAAAAGTCACCCTAACTTTTCTTCAAGCTTTATGATATTTAACGGCTGCTAAATGATGATTTCCTTTCTTCCTCACCACTCCAACTTTATGTTTTAATGCCTTGAATCCTTAAGCAAAGTTTTATTTGCCACCTCTTATTTTAAACTTAGAATGATTCTTTTAAAAATGTAGTAACCAAAATAAATGGCACAGCCAGCCTTATTTCCAGGAGTGATTTTATGTTAATAGTTGATGCTCCTTTGAAAGGAGCCACTGGCCTTTATTAATAATATCATGCTCACCAGCAAACAACTTGGCACTATATTTGTAGTATCAGAAGTTGGGGGAGGACTAGAAACACAATCTTAAGCAAAAAACAAAATTAGGATTGAAAAGTGTAGCAACAGCTGGTGCCAGCTGCAAGCAACCGCACAGTTGAATCCTGTCCAACTCTGAGGGAGATCTCTGAGAACTCTTGGAGCCTGCAACAGGAGCAACAAAAGACCACATTGTAAGAATGTCAAATGTAAACCCAGCTAGCTAGCACCCCCAGAAATTACCAACAGGAGGAACTGATAACATTGCCAGGAATTCATCTTCCCCAGATCAAATCACTGCATAAAATCAGCCCTATTTGTTCTAGGAAGTTTATGCTCATAAGCTTCATTCTAACTGGAGATTTGTTCATAGCCACTAAGGCCCTTAAGGAGTCCTTTGGACTCTGTGGGTCTCCATTTTAAAAGCATTACTGACATGAACCTGGGGAAGTGTTTTTCCTGGAGTTCTTTCTCACCGGACTGGTTCCGGCTGCCTCCTGGGTGATGACGGAAAACTAAGGCACTAACCTACATGTCATTGCCTCATTTTGTAATCCTCAGGCAGTTGCACAAAGGTTGTGTGGAACTTTACCAAGTAGTTAAAGGCACAGTCTGGGACAGTCTTAAAGGACTTAGGATTGTTACTGAACTACCTAACTATTGCATACTAAGGAACTCCACCACAGACCAGATAAGTGAGGTGTAAGGGAATGCAATCAACACCTTTTCACTCTCAACCCTGAAGTTTGGAAACCCAAGGCCTTTCAAGTCACAGTTGAGAACTGTTGCCCAAGTAGCCTCCCCAAAGTTTTCTGATTCCAGAAAGGAGCCCTAAGAAACTATAGGAAAAGACCCTGTGCACTCTCACTATGTGAGTCAGTGCTAAAGGAAGAGTTATATTTTATCAGAGATCTTCAAGAATTCTTAATATTCTTCACTTACTTGTAGCCAAGTCTATCTTTGAGATCAGCTTAGTATAAGTTATATATTTAGGTAGCTCTCATTTGCCTAGAGCAACTTTTTTTTTTTTTTTTTTTTTTTTGCGTTACGCGGGCCTCTCACTGTTGTGGCCTCTCCCGTTGCGGAGCACAGACTCCGGACGCACAGGCTCAGTGACCATGGCTCACAGGCCCAGCCGCTCCGTGGCATGTGGGATCCTCCCAGACCGGGGCACGAACCCATGTCCCCTGCATCAGCAGGCGGACTCTCAACCACTGTGCCACCAGGGATGCCCCCTAGAGCAACTTTTTTAAAAATTTAAAGAAAAGCAGAGAAAAGTCAGAATAAGACATATGGCCTTTAGCAACTAAATTACACAAGTAATCTCTTTACAGGAGACAGGATCTGGAAGGACTTTCATTAAAATCTTGCTATTTAGCCTTTAGCTAAAAGCAATGATTGTTTTTGAAATCTTGTTGTAGGGAGAATCTAATATAAATTTACTTTTTCTTCCTCCAGCCCTAGAAATATAAGGGAGGAGGATCTATTATGTTCCATCCTGTGCTCTGATCCTTCACCCTAGGACTAGAAGAAATAAAGTAGATTTTTGTGGAAATGTGGAGATATATGTTCATGAGTTACACTGCAACCAGGGAGTTGAAATCATGTGTAGCTTGGTTTCTCTACAGAAATGTTAGAAGGGTAGACACCGAAAGAACATCAAGAAGGATGTGTGATAGCTCTGTGGGCCTGGACAGCCTGGCTGTGGAGATGCAAAAACCCACAGCAGCCATCATCCAGGAAAGATGATGGCCCATATAGCACCCTGACCCCTCCCATGGACAAAAAACCAAGCCCTGTCTGTGTTGACATTAAGAAGTCTATTTTAAGGAAAATACAAAGACTGTTTGGGAGGTAATAACTAACCATATCACTGAACTCTTTTTTAATAATGAAGTACAAAGTGATGAAACACTATTTTTAGTTTGATTTTATAATTCGTCACTGGAAAGGATGCTTGATACAGAGTTTGAAGACACTGTTCTAACACTTACATCTAACTTTGGGTAAGTACCTTAACTTTCTCATCTGTGAAAGCCTCTTTCTTCATTTTGAAAGAGGGATACTAACATTTGTTCTACTCAGCTCACAATCTTCTTAAAAGTTATAAGTAAGATCATGTGAGTATAATTACAGTGAGTAAAAACCCCTTTCTATGGGCCTGTTCTAGAAGAAAGGGTTTTTTCTTGAAAAGCATCTATAATCATTTCATTTATTTCTTACCCATTTCTTAGAGAAAAAAAAACAAACCCTAGGGAGGATTATGTCCCATGGTTTTAAGGCTGATTAGCTAATAGACTTCATCAGTCAAAGTCCTGGAAGTTCTGACACAGACCTGTGTCCTCAACTCTCAGGGTCATTTAACTCTCCCATCCAATTTAACCACAACCCATACAGTTTTCCATTATTAGTAGTACACTCAGTGAAAATATAATAGCTATGTTTTACTGTGCATCTGCTATGTGCCTTTATCTCTAATCCTCATAAAAAAGCAAAACCTTCAAGGTAAGTACAATCATTAACCTGCTTCACAATAAAGAAATAGAATGACTCAGAGAAATTAGGTTAGACAGACAAATTTTAGTTAATGCTAACACCTGAAAATAGCTGTGACTCTAAAGAAAGTCTTTAGAGACCAAAGGAGCATTGTAGCTATGGCTTCATCCACATTAGGTGTCTGTATTCACTCTTTTTTTTTTTTTTAACATCTTTATTGGAGTATAATTGCTTTACAATGGTGTGTTAGTTTCTGTTTTATAACAAAGTGAATCACTCTTTTAAGATCAGTAAAGGGGTTCACTGTAATGCACTTCTTCTGTACACTCTGAGTCATTCTGCAAACCGGTATTTCAATTACTGGTCTTGCCGCTTTTCTTCGGTAGCCCTACTAGGACAGGAATCAGTTAAGAGAGAACTAAAATGGCAACTTCTTGCATGTAGGCATGGATATTTCCACTACTAAAAGGCATTTGGTTATTATGCTTGTCTTCACTTAACCATGTATCCGACTTGAGCATTTGATTCAAAAACCCCTGCAGAGAACGTCACCACCCTGTTGTTAGCACATTGACCCAACAGATAAAAAAGCATCAAAAAAAAAAAATGAATGAAAAAAAGATTTTCTCCTCTGTAGTCAGGTACCAGTAAAAGCATTAAAGGATTTTTAAAATCTTATGAGGATAAAAACTAGTAAAACAGTAAATAATTTTTCAAGTGGCTGCTAATATTTGGTATTCTTCCTAAAAGAGGAAGGCATGTGAGGAAAATGACATTCCACTTAAAAGAGTGTTTGTAAAACTGTCCAAGTGTGTTTTAAAATGTCACCTTGGAATGTTCGTTAAAACAGATTCTCAGGCCTCCTGTGAAGAGATTTTGATTCAGTAGTTGTTACTTCAGTATTAATAATGTCTTTGTTAATATAATCTAATGCTTAATAGGAATGCATAATAGCATCCTAATCAGGACCTAGGATCTTCAGAATGACTACTTATAATATCTACAGCTAACTCAACACTGAAAGGTTAGTTATATACTATAAAGGGTGTTAGAAATAATTTTGTGCTCATGAAATTAGTGGTATCAAAAGTAATAAGTGACTAGAGAAAATTTGCTAGAACATGAACAAGATATATGAGTGGACAAGTACAACACTTGAATGCCATTGATGTAGTATGTAAGTCTAGGCCCCATTGGGTCCCAGTGGACCCAGCTGCCTGAACCAACAACAAAGATCACCAGTCCTGATATCATCAAAGCGTGTTTGAAGTGAGTCCTTCATTCAAGGTGCTGGGTGGTGAGCCTCACTTGCAGCAAGCCCTCCTGAAACTGCAGACAAGTCACATGACTATTTTGTGCCAATTTTCTACTAATGAATGTACAATGGAGGGGGTCTGATCAGAGACTTGCTTTCATTGAAACATATCTTTAGTAATTAGATTGTGAAGGCAGATTCCTATAGCCCCCGGATACGTCTAAAAAGGCTACCAATACCTACCAGCAGAGCTTGATATATGTTAGCAATCTAAATTGCACCAGGTCATCTCACAAAAGTAAGGGAGTGGATGAGATATGCATGTGC